ACTGCTCATAGCAATCTCCAACTCCTGGGCTCAAGTGAGTCTCCTGCCTCTGCCTCCCAAGTAGCTGGGACTACAGGTGCCCACCACAATGCCTGGCCATTTTTTGGTTGCAGCCATCATTGTTGTTTGGCGAGCCTGGGCTGGGGATTTGAATCCGCCACCCTAGTTGTATGTGGCTGGCGCCTTAGCCGCTTGAGCCACAGGCGCCGAGCTGAACATTCCATGTTTTATGGTAATAATATATATATATATATTTTTGAGACAGTCTTACTATGTTGCCCTTGGTAGAGTTCTGTGGCATCACAGCTCACAGCAACCTCAAACTCTTGGGCTTAAGTGATTCTCTTGCCTTAGCCTCCCAAGTAGCTGGGACTACAGGCGCCATCACAATGCCCAGCTTTTTTTTGTTGCAAATGTCTTTGTTTAGCTAGCCCAGGCTGAACCCGCCACCCTCGATGTATGTGGCTGGCTCTGTAACCACTGTGCTATGGGTGCTGAGCCGGTAATAGTATGTTTTATATTGAGAAAGGTCTTCTTAGTCCAGTGAATCAGTTAAATTGGAACATGTTAAGAGAGCTATTTTTTTTTGGAGACAGAATCTCACTCTGTTGCCCAGGTTAGAGTAATGTGGCTTCAGCCTAGCTCATAGCAACCTCAAACTTGTGTTCAGGTGATCCTCCTGCTTTAGACTGCCACAACACCCAGTTACCTTTTCTATTTTTATTAGAGATGGCATCTCACTCTTGCTCAGGCTAGTCTTGAACTCCTGAGCCCAAGGGATCCTCCTTCTTAGACCTCCCAGAGTGATAGAATTATAGGCCTGAGCCACTGCGCCTGGCCAACAGAGCTAATTTTTGATGATAAAGATCTTGTGCAAGCCCAATTTTTCCCCCTAGCGATGTATTTAAGTTTTTTTTTTTTTTAAGGCTTATGAAGTTTATGTGTATTTTTTTCTTCTTTTATCTTTGAAATACTGTTTGCTAAAAGTCATATTTACATATTCTTTGGATAGAAGAAAGCAAATATATCATTTACAATCGTATATATTTCATCAGATGGAATGAGGTTAATCTATGGATAAAAATGTTTTAGCTATTAGAACTGGAAATATTGTATTATTATTAGAATCAAGAAAATAAGATTTTATAAAGTAGCTAGATCAGTATCATGTAATATATTGCATATGTAGTAACAATTACTATTATCTGCTAAATGCATTTTTAATGCTCAATTTAATTACTTTAATATACATCTTTTTATTTTTTATTTTACAGACCAGGAAATTGATTCAGAGAGTCTAAATAACATGCCTAAAGCCATATTAGGTATTAAATGGTAGGCTGGGTTTGAATTTAGGTGTCTCCTGGTTTTAAAGTATACAATAGTCTATGTTATTGGTTAAGTTTTTTGAAAAGCTTATTTATTTAATTTTGGGCTGTGTGTCTTTTTTAGATGAAGAAAATAGTTTACATGTGGTAGTAAACTGTGGAGAAGCGTTACTGAAGAATAACACTTACTGGCCTCTTGTTAGTGATTTTATTAATATTCTTTCTCATCAAAGTGTTGCTAAGAGATTTTTGGAGGATCATGGTTTGTTAGTTACATGGATGAACTTTGTATCTTTCTTTCAAGGTATGAATTTTTACCCTTTTTAAAAATTGTTTTTCGGCTTACAAAATGCCTGTTCCTAAACTGTTAAATACTGATTAAAATTTAATAGTACATCTATTCATACACATAAATGTCTCATTATTTGAAATAATTGTTATTTGTAAGTACTTTAATAAATTGTTTATGAAAACAGAATTGGAAAATGTCAAATTATTAAAAAGGAAATAGGTGTGTAAGTTTTTAATCATCTTAAAACATTAATCTAGAAATGTGAAATCTGTGCTCCATTAAAGATACGTAACACTTTTATAAAAATTTCAACTAACATCAATTAAAATTGTTTTGAAGATATTACATTTGTTATGTAAGAGACGAATCACAAGGTGTTTGTAGTTTATAAAAACATTCTAAAAAGACTAGATCATTTTAAATAATGTACTTATTTCTGTATATATTATGCCATTTATGCATTTATGTGCATATTTGTGACTTGGAAATGTTTTACTTAATTTTTAATCTGAATGCTTGCTTTCATTTGACAAGATTTATGTCTGCTTTAATTTTTGCAAGGTATGAATTTAAACAAGCGAGAGCTAAACGAACATGTGGAATTTGAGTCTCAAACCTACTATGCTGCCTTTGCTGCTGAACTTGAGGCCTGTGCACAGCCAATGTGGGGGCTCTTATCACATTGTAAAGTTAGGGTATGTTGGAAATATTTTTGTTAATTCCTGTATTTTCTTCAAAAATAATTATGTAGGCTTGGGGCCTGTGGCTCAAGCAGCTAAGGCACCAGCCACATACACCTGAGCTTGCGGGTTCAAATCCAGTCCAGGCCCACTAATTAACAATGATAGCTGCAACCAAAAAATAGCCAGGCATGGCAGGCGCCTGTTGTCCCAGCTACTTGGGAGGCGGAGGCAGGAGAATTGCTTGAGCCTAGGAGTTGGAGGTTGCTGTGAGCTGTGATGCCATCCATGGCACTCTACCCAGGATGACAGCTTGAGGCTCTGTCTAAAAAAAAAAAAAAAAAAAAATGTATATATATATATGTAAGGAAAAGGTTTGTGAAAAGGGGTTTATTTACTTATGTACAATATACAATGTTTGATTCTGTTCCAAATTGAATTCAGCTTTGTAAAAGCTGACCAGTGGGTAATTATTTTCTTAGGCAAGTTGGAACTCATCTGTATTATTAGATCTTCACAGACTGCCCCTATTGTGAATAGTCTTTGGAACTATTATAAGTTTCAAAGAACTATTAATAGTAATTCTTCACATTCATTATTGTTTTGTTTTACCCACTATCAGTTGTCTAATGCTTCTTTTCTTTTAAGGAGTAGGAGAGTCTTCAGTAAAGTTTATAATTCTAAGATTCCAAGCACAAAATCTGTATAAATGTCCCAAAACTTCCAGCTGTTGATATATCATATATATTATTATACAAGCATTGGTTTGATGGGTGTCCAGAAACCTTGGGCAGTCCAGAAAAGTGGAATACCTTGACTTTATTAAATTAAAAAGTCGACTAAGATTTTGATATATGGACCCTGAGAAGTGCAGCCTGTTAGCCTGAGCCAAGAAGCGTGCTGGACAAGATTTTATAGTGGAAATATTTAAAAGCCCTGGATTCTAGTCTTGGCTTAGCTTCTTTCTACTTAGATGACGTAGTCAACTCGTTTAGAACTATTTGACCTTCTCAGTCTATTTTATTCTTAAAAAAAAAAAAAAAAAAGGGAAATGGGACAGTCAATCTTGCTCTTCCTCATAGGGTATTATGGGGCTGTCTTCCATGTATGTGTTTCTCCAAACCAGGCATCCTCAGACTATGGCCCGCAGGCCACAAGCAGCCTGCCTAGGACATTTATCTGGCCCGGTGGGTGTTTTTGCCGGGTGTTTTGTCGGTGTTTTTGCTGCCTGTCCTGCTTAGCAGCCGACTCGTCCTGGGGCCTGCAGTCCTGCCCTCCAGCGGTCTGAGGGACAGTGAACTGGCTCCCTTGTTTAAAAAGTTCGAGGGCCCCTGCTCTAAACAGATTTATATTTTCTTCATTAGTTCAGCTATTCTCTAAATGCAAATGATTCACAACTTTGTTACATATAGTCTTAACAGTTTCACATTTCTGATAGGTCTGGTTATTTATGTAGGTCTCCTTTTAGGCACATGAATTTCTTCTTCCAAATTCTGTTTTAAGCAAAGATATTCATAGGCTACTTACAGTACTCATATGTTCTGTTCTCCCTTTTTTACTGTGTAAAATATACATAATGTAAAATTTGTCCCTTTAATCATTTTTAGGTGTACGATTCAGTGACCTTAAGTGCATCCACAATGTTGTACAACCATCACTACTATCCATTTCCAAGACTTTTATATTAGCCCAAAAGAAACTCTGTACCCCTTAAACAACAACATTAGGGAATTTATAATATTTGGGAGTTTCTTGAAATGAAACTTGATTTAATTCTACTTAAAATTTATTTTAGCTTTCATTTGCTTTTAGAAATGTATAAAAGGAAGTATATTGTGTTATTGTGTGCTTTAATTTTCGTATTTGTTATTGGTTGTTTATTAAGGAATTATTTCTTGAAATGGCAGATATAGTGGTCATCTTGAAATCATTTTGCCATTACATATGTAGTGCATATAATTATTATTATGTTACATAAGTTAAGTTGATGTTGAAAATATACATGTTTATTTACTATAAAATTTACCTGTATTTATTATTTTAGGAAACTCAAGAATATACCCGAAATGTTGTTAGATACTGCCTTGAAGCACTTCAAGATTGGTTTGATGCTATTAACTTTGTAGATGAGGTATGTATATTTTTAATAGATGCAAATGTATTTAAGAAAAGAAATATTAGATCCTACTTAATGCTAAAAATAATGAAAATCTTTTTGTGTGATAGAGAAAGAAATCAGAGTGAACATAATATTAGGCTTAAAAAAAGAGAAATTGAAAGGGGAGACCTGTTCTTTGACATTTAGGAGATTCTAGAGTGTACTAATGTGTTCTGTTTTCTAGAGAAGAGTGGCATATTTTCTCTTTCTGTTACTAAGTATGTATGTTTCATTATTTCTCAGGACTGAAAATTAGTTTCAGTTGAATATGTATAAATGTGCAAACGTGAGGAGAGATTAATGGAGGGGGTATCACAACTTTATTGAGTATTGTTTTTCTTTTCAGGATATATAGGAAAAGATGAGCTTGAACAAAGGTGATTGTTATTAATAATGGACTTAGAAGAATTGGCACAGGACTTGCTATGTATGAATTGAACGAATGGTTGCTTTTATTTATCTATCTTTTTTTTTTTTTTTTTTGAGACAGAGTCTCAAGCTGTAACCCTGGTAGATTGCCATGGCGTCATAGTTCACAGCAACCTCCAACTCTTGGACTCAAGTGATCTTCTTGCCTCAGTTTTTCTATTTGTTAGTAGAGACGGGGGTCTTGCTTTTTGCTCAGGCTGATATAGAACTCGGAGCTCAAACAATCTACCTTCCTTGGCCTCTCAGAGTGTTAGGATTACAGCCGTGAGCCACAGCCCCTAGTCCAAATGGTTGCTTTTGTTAGCCAAGTTTACCATCAGAAGCTCCTGTATTCCTCTTATGAGGTAGGATCAGAATATGCCACATGCAGAAGGAAAAACATGGTTTCGCAACTTGACCCCACCCTTCCATCTGATTTCTAAACACTGGGCATATATAGGTGGTCATGCCTAAAGTCATCATACATAGGGGAAACAGGAAATTGTGGCTATATGTACCTTTATTTATAAAATATTCATCATCACCAAAAATATTTACAAAATATTATCTACATGTTGGGAACTCTTTGTAAAATTTTATAATGAATATTTTGTAAATAAAGGTACATGAAGGCACAATTTCCTGGTTTCCCTATGTATAGTGACTTTAGAGGGGATCTTTGGGACACCCAGTAGAACTCTTGCTCTCTGTGTGTGTATATTTGGCACAATCACAGATTTATTGAGAAGTTGGGTATATAAAGAACTTTCTTTTCTTGAATTATTTGTGAGTTAAGTTATTGCTCTATTACCCCCCCCCAAATACTTCAGTGTGTATTTCCTACCAACAAGGATATAGTCTTCTATAATCAGAATATAGCTATACAAATATATTATTACCATCTAATCCAATGATGTTCTTTGTAGAAAAAGAATCACGTGTTGTATTTTGTTATCATCTCTCTAGTCTCCTTCTGGAACAGTTTCTCAGTCTTATTCTCCTTTTTCAGACAGTGACGGTTTGAAGAGTATGAACAGGTTATTTCATAGAATTTCATTCAATTTGGATTTCCTTCATGATTAGGTTCATATTATGTATCTTTTTCAGGAATATTGTAGAAGTGATGTAGTCTTCTCATTGCATCTTACCTGGTGGTTTGTGATTTGTATTTATTCTGTTATTGATGATGTTACCTTTGGTTACTTAGCGCCTGGTAGTTCTGGGTCCAGAGCCCATATCTCTTCACCATAAAAGTTACCCTTTTTCTCATTGCAATTAATATTATGTATTGCAAAGATATACTTTGAGGTTATACAAATATATATGTTTTCTCATCCAATATTGATTAATTTTTTGAAACGGGGTCTCACTCTGCCACTTTGGCTTAGAGTGCAGTGGCATGGTCACAGCTCTTGGGCTCAGGTAGTCCTTCTGTCTTAGTTTCCCAGGTAGCTAGGGCTACAGCCGTATGCCACCTTGCTGGCCTGATTTTTCTTTTTCTTTTTCTGTAGAGATAAGGTCTAACTGTTTACCATGCTGGTCTTGAACTCCTGGCCTCAAGTGATCTTCCCACCTCAGCCTCCCAAAGTACTGAGATTATAGTATTCATTTATTTTTATCTGTGAGGATTCATAATTTCTATTTTATTGAGTGGGTGACAAGCCATCACTATTATTATTTAATGCTCAAATTGTTTCAGATTTGGCTAGTAAAAGCCCCTTCAAGCTGGTTTCTGAGTCCTTTTGCTTGTCCCATCATTCTATGAGTACATCCTGGTTTTCTGGCTTAATAGGGTATTTCAAGCTTACCTTTATAGTTTCCCTATTCCATTCCTAGAATCAGTCATTTCTTTATGGATCCTTGGTCACTTTTAGGGTATTTAGAAAGATCTGGGTGCTAGGTGTGCATTGCTATTGGGCCGTCACTGCTTGCAGGCCCTCACAGCGAACATAGGATCTATATGTATGTACATATACAAATTGCTGTATTCATTTTTCTGTCTCTATGTAGTCAAATCTATAAGTTCAAATTTACATGTTTAATTATAACACCAAAGGACTTACTCTAGTTTTCTTCAACAGAGAGAAAGCTGACTTTCACCATTATTGATATATTTACTTATAAAAATTTTATATTTATGTATTTGTATTTATATATTTTTATATGTTACCAAGTCTGTCATCTCTGTTGCCTCTTTCCCTGTAGGGATGTCCCCTTCTCCCTGCTTTGAGTTTGAGTCCTCATCTTGTTACCTTTTCTCTCATATGTATGTACCCTCCTCATCTGCCTTGGGCTCTGACTCCCCACTTTGAACTGCCCTTCTTTGAAGAAGAGTGTATCACCTTATTTGTGCTTTGACCACCCACACCAGGCTTTTTGTCTTTTTGGAGATTCATGCCATTTTGCTCTGGCTATTTTTCTTGTTTTGATTTTTTCTGAGTCAGTCTCATTCTGTTGTCCATGCTGGAGTACCGTGGCACTTAGCCTTCAACCAAGATCTTGTCCATTTGCATTCTGATTCTACCTTCAACAAATCACCTTGATATTTCAGACCAGTTGTCTTTAGTCTTTAAGTTTAAACTTTGTTTATATAAATGGAAATGAGTCAGTCTTCAGAGCATAATTCTCCAGCCTCCACACAGCTCTGTCCTACTTTCAACTTGCTTTATTCCTTCTTTGCCTCATCCAAGATTAATCCCTCAGCAGGAGCTTTTCTCAACATGGTTCTCATTGGTATTTGAAACTTAGGGAATTATTATTGAAATGGTAGCAGCACTAAGACAACAGGAAGATTGAAGTGGGGGAAAATTATACACAGAGAGTTATGTAGCAAATGACATGAAATTAATGCATGGTTAGAATCAAGAGTGGAGTTAATGACAGAATCATGTATGCTATATAGAACTGCTGAACTCAAGGAGTTGTATGTTCAACTACAACTCAGTGTATGTTTTCACACATAAATATTTCTAGGAAGATATAGAATGTTGCAAAGAATTTAAATTGATTTTTAGAAGAAGAGAAAATGAGTTTAGAATTTAAGGAGTCAAATAGTATGTTATGTTTTTATATAGTGTTTAAAATTTTTCATTGTCTTCCCATCCTCTTTTTGTAATTATACAGTAGAAATGCAGAGATATTAAACAACACACCTGTAGTTATGTAGCAAATTATTGGTAGTTCTGGGTCCAGAGCCCACATCTCTCAATTTCTTGTCTGGTAGTGGTTTCAACTATGCTGGTTATTGGCAGTGGAAAGAGCTTTAAAGCAGGGGAATTTGAGTATTAATGGGGTTCTGCCATGCTCCAGCTAGCTAGAGGACCCTGGACAGAGTTTTAACAATTTTATTTCATATATATTTGTGCATGTGTAGTGGGGGGAGATAGAGTCTTACTCTGTTGCCCCAGGCTGGAGGGCCATGGCTTCAGCCTATGTTGTGGGGGATGAGACTGGAAAGGTAAGCCCTGTCTTCTAAGCAGTTGGAAAGTTATCAAGAGATTAAAGCCACAGGGAGTCAATAAAAAATTGTGAGTGTAAGAAGTTAAAGATTAAATTAGTGTTTTAGGAGGGCCACATTCTGGCAGCATATAACGGTTTAAATAAGGAGAAAATATGTTAGTCAATATCCTTTTAACTGCAAGGGGGAGACTAACTTAAGGCATCTTAAGTTAAAGGAGGGGAATATGTAACGGTGTGGAATGGACTGGAAACTGAGTAGGAAGGAACTCCTGTCTCTTTGCTTTGCTTTGCTCTATATATCTGCTCATCTTTGCTGCTTTTTCTGTATATCTTTGCCCATATGGTGAAATGTTGCATTCTTATAGTTGCCTAATGTTACTATTGCAGGCATACTCCAAGACTGTCTAGGAATGTATCTGAATCCCAGCTCCAGATTTTTAAGAGGGAGGGAGAAACTCATTGCTCAGGTTAAGTTAGGAGACCCTTGTCCCGATTCTGTTAAGATTGGTGCTATAAACTTGACTATAAGGTCTTAATCCCTATGTGTGTGATTGAGGTGCCAGGAAGTAGAGGGGTCATGTTCTGAGAAGATGGGAGGATTATGAGCTAGCAGGTACCACACAAGGTGTTTTATAGAATAAAAGCAGGGGCTAGCTGTAAAATCTAAGCACTAAATATTGAGGGCCTGAGCGAAGGTTAGTTAGGTACAGTATAGAAAGGGAGAAGAAAGATTTAAGAGATACTTAAAAAATCAAATAAACTTAATTTGGTGTCTCATCAAATGTAGGAGGTTTGTGAGAAGGAAGGAGTCTACATTTTGGGTTTAAATTACTGGTTATCTGGGGAAGAAACATTGAGTTTTAGGGCAAAAATGTGGAGTTTGGTTTGGGCACACTGTATTTCTGGTCCCTGTGGGATATTAAGTTGATGTTCAGTAGATACTTTTTTTTCTCCTATCCCAGCAGCAGTTCTGTTCAGTAGACACTTGAATGTAAGAGTTGGAGTTTAGGAGTGAGGTTTCTGCAGGGAGAATGGGAACCGAAGACTGCATTCTGGGCAAGGGAAAAATACCCCCAGGAAAAGGGCAAAAAAGAGAAGTAAGCTGAGCAAGGTGGAATAAAAACAGTTTAGCTAGTTTTCTTTTAAACCAGCAGCTAAATTACTTATCTGAGCAGTTCCTGCTTTTATCACAAGCCTGGCCTGTAAGGGATACAGCTTGCAAACACCCCTGCTGGGTTTATAAACACTCTGAAGAAGTAATGACTGTCGTAGGAAACTCTGTGGAAGGCCTAGGAAGGAACATTAACCAGGTCGTCCTCTGCCCAGTCAACAGTCAAAACAAATACCCATTGTGGGGATCTGTATTATAGCCAGGACAGAGATCCAAGGGAACAGCTCGAGCCCTGAGATATGGGCAGGAGGGCTTGTACCTCCTTATCACACAGGAAGACACCCCTGGGTGGAGATCAGAGGAGAAGTTTTCTGCTCTACTGATTCTTCAGAGGAGCCTTACACCATCAGGGTGTCTGTTCCACAAAGAACTATAGGGATTTAACCTCCCCCAAGGAATCTGTGTGTGTGACCACAGATTGGAGGTTGCCTCCACACAAGGCTCAGGTTTTGGATTTCTCAAGGCTGTTCAGACCTTTAAAGTTAATGGTTATAAATAGAGTAAGAACTACCATGCTTACTCAGAGAAACTGCTGATGTTTTTGTTCTCTTCCTCAGCTTACCCTCTGGGCTAAATGAGATAATAACCTTTAATAAAAGCTGAGTGAACAAGCACTCAGGGCCACTCACTGAAGCCCCACAAGTTAGCAGTGGTCCCCTGTGTTTCCCACCTTTGAAAACTCTATTCTGCTTGTCCTGGCTCTTTTTCTCTCACTGCTTCTAACTTTACTTTTCTTCAATAGATCCCTACCAGTTCCACAGGTCTTTTTTTTTTTTTTTTTTTTTTTGAGATAGAGCCTTAAGCTGTTCCCCTGGGTAGAGTGCTGTGGCATCACAGCCCATGGCAGCCTCCAACTCCTGGGCTCAAGTGAGTTTCCTGCATCAGCCTCCCAAGTAGCTGGGACCATAGGCACCTGCCACAATGCCCAGCTATTTTTTTGGTTGCAGCCACCATTGTTGTTTGGCAGGCCCTGGCTGGATTCGAACCCACCACCTTAGGTGTATGTGGCTGGCGCCTTAGCCACTTGAGCCATAGGCACCGAGCCAGTTCCACAGGTCTTAAAGGATCCTGCTCCTGGGGTGGGACCCCAGCGATTTCTACTGAGATTTGGAAATTACCTGGCTTGAGTTAGCAGTTGAAGATGTGAACTTGGATAAAGTCATCTATAACGTGAAAAATGTAGAGAGCAGAGACTGGAATCCAGTGACCACAAGCATATATATGAGGAGTGAAAAAAGAAGAGTTTTTCAAGTGGCCAATCTGTGACATTAGACAAGGAGGGAGTATGGAGTTTAGCACTACAGAAGAATATGATGAATTTAGGATTTGCTAAAGACCTGAAAGATAGGTAGAGTCTGTGGCTTAGTAGTTAATAGCAATATGTGTTGGGTATTGTGTTGTTTTACTTATTCCTTATAGCCATCCTACCATTGTTACCCCTATTTTCAGGTCAGACAACTTAGGCACAGAGAGGTTAAGTAACTTACTCACAGTTTTATAGCTGTAGGATAGTAGATCCAGGGTTTGAACTCATGCAGTCTAGTTCTTTATTCTTCTTTATTTTTTTTATTAAATAATAGCTGTGTACATTAATGCAAACATGGGGTACAGTGTAGTGTTTTCATATACAATTTGAAATATTTTCATCAAACTGGTTAACATAGACTTTATGTCATTTACTTAGTTATTGTGTTAAGACATTTATACTCTAGTTTTAGAAAGATTCACTTATACCCTTGTAAGACAAACCATAGAGGTGATCTTTCTAATCACTCTCCCTCTACCCATTCGCCCTTCTCCCCTTCCCTCTACCACCCCCTCCCCATATTCTTGGGCTAGAATTAGGTTGTAGCTTTCATTTGAGAGGTATAAATTAGTTTCATAATAGGGCTGTGTACATTGGATACTTTTTCTTCCATTTTTGTGATACTCTGCTAAGAAGAACATTTTCCAGTTCCATCCATGTAAACATGAAGGAGATAAAGTCTCCATCTTTCCTAAGGGCTGCATAGTATTCCATAGTGTACATATACCACAGTTTATTGATCCATTTATGGATCGATGGGCACTTGGGCTTCTTCCATGACGTGGCTATTACGAATTGGGCTGCAATAAACATTCTTATACACATATCTTTATTGTAATGTGATTTTTGATCTTCTGGGTATATAGAGGGTATACTGTACTTCCTATACCATAAGGTTTTTCTGAGGATTAAATGAGGTAATGTGAATAAAGTGCTTAGCATAGTGACTGGCATGTAGTCTAAGTGCTCAGTGAATGTTACCATGTTTCCCCAAAAATAAGACACTGTCTTATATTTATTTTTTCTCAGGAAGACACACTAGGGCTTATTTTCAGGGAATGTCTTATTTTTATTAAGTATAATACAACAATCGACATTTATTCAAATACAGTTAAGTCATCTTCTTCTGGAACCTGACAGGGGGAGCCGACCTTGTTGGTGGGGCTGGCACTAGTGATGCGTGAACTCCTTTCCCCTAGCCCTTGCACCTGCGCAATAGGATGCCTATGACCGTGGTTACCACATGGGCACCCATGCAGGTGTGAATGGCTCAGAGAAAGGAGCTGTGGCAGATAAAAGGTATTCCAGTCTTCCTTACTGCTCTGCACCGAAATGCATGGCATGGCTATGCAGATATGCTGCATAGCTACGCCCATCACTAGGTCTTATTATCAGGGTAGCTGTGATCATTACTGTGTTTCCCCCAAAATGAGACCTATCCCTAAAATAAGCCCTAGCAGGATTTCTATGCATTTGTTAAATATAAGCCCTACCCCGATAATAAGACCTAGTGATGGGCATGGCTATGTGTATCTGCATAAGGTTTTTCTGAGGATTAAATGAGGTAATGTGAATGCAATGATACGCCATGCATTTTGGCATGGAGAGGAAGACATCACCTGAAAATAAGTGCTAGTGTGTCTTCTTGAGAAAAAATAAATATAAGACAGTGTCTTATTGTGGGGGAAACACAGTATTCTTATTACTATTATCATATTATCATATACATGTGTTTGACTAGTCCCAAATGGTCTATGGTGGTGGGAAATCTATTTTATTCCTTGTTTCTATAATGGTTATATGCTTTAGCTTAATTACGTTTAGGAAATATTAATCTGTACTTGGTGCCTCTGGATTCAAAGATGATTGATTAGTTTATAATTCTTGCCTTTAAGGAACTTGTACTTAGGTGTTTAAAATGGAATAGTTTTAACTATAGTGATTTTTTTTAAAGCTGTATCTTCTAAAATGTCAGGTTTGATAAAAAGTCCAGGTGAGAATGTGGTTTGAGCATTTTAAAGCCATCTTAGAACTTTTGTAAAACATTCTTTGATTTGTGGATCTTGTTTGTTCATTCTAGCCAGCACCCAACCAAGTCACTTTTCATCTGCCACTACATCGTTACTATGCTATGTTTTTGAGTAAGGTGAGACTGTCTTTAAATAATTCTGTTCTGTTTTATTTTTAAGTTTTGGGAAATGAGCATTGAATTAGTAACTTCTTTTATCATAATTTTTAGGCTGTGAAATGTCAAGAATTAGATTTGGATTCTGTTTTACCAGATCAAGAAATGTTAATGAAACTAATGATTCACCCACTCCAAATTCAAGTATGTATTCAGGCTTTTAAAAAGTTTTTTTTTTTTTTAAAGTTTTGAATAGAATTATTGGTTAAATGATTCTTCCTTTGTTTTTTATCATTGTTATTTTAGCCACATATTTTTTCTTTTTTAGAATATAAAAGTATAAGTTTATTTTATATAAGAGAGAGGGGAGAGAGTAGGGTAAAAAATAAGAAAGAGAGAGAGAAGAGAGCAGAGAGGAAGGAGTGAGAGAAAGGAAGATGGGGCTAAAATGTTTGAAAGCCCTTTTATAAAAAAAATTCAGTTCTCATATTTTTATCAGCTTACATACATTTAGCCTTTTTTTTTTTTTTTTT